TAAACCGCTTAGAGAGGGCTGGAAGCCCTATGAAGCGGTATATAAGTCTAACTGCTAACTGCTATTGCTATCTCCTGTTCTTATTTAGGATTCCATTTATTGGCTGCCCATGTTACCATCAAGGGACCCAAAGGTGCTTTTTCCCAAAACGTTTTCTTTGAAAACGTTTCGCTTCTCCTCCAAGAAGCTTCTTCAGTTCTGACTGGCGGGGAACGAAGTGGTTTACATTCTTTCTTTGTTATATATTCTCCTCAACCCAGATGACTGTCAAGAATATAAATCCTTCCACTCTCCACCGGTCAGTTAGAACTGAAGAAGCTTCTTGGGACGAAGAGCAAGAAGTTTTCAAGGGGGAAAAAAATATATCAAGGAAGCCCAGCTGTGCTTTTGCAAAAAGATCCTTTGGGGACAAGACAGAAGTGAAACTGGATCCGAATCTCCGCAGAGAAAGAGAAGGATCTCTCAGCCCGTCCCTCTTCCCTAGAGCCAGAGGGAAGATACGTTTAATGAACCGTAAATTCCTCTGCTTCTTCTCACCTTCAGGCAGGTACATATACACCAGGAGGTTCCGGTCCCTGTCGGACACTGCAAAAGAAAAGTCACTCTTTTTCAGTGCTGTCGTAACTCTAAATGAACCGTTATAAGTCGAGGACTACCATATTTTTTGGAGTATAAGATGCACTCCGCCCCCCCTTAAAAGAGGGTGAAAATTTGGGTGCGTCTTGTACACCAAATGCAGTCCCGCCCACCCACCAGCCCCCACCCTTTCGTCTCTGCCTCTCTGCAATTTGCCTCCTTGCAGCAAACAGTAAACAGCCTGTTTCAGTTTCAGTACAGTTTGATTAGCACAAGCAGCTGCCTCCTGACCACCAGCTGTTTCAGGCTGCAGGGACTGCCCGAAATGGGCAGAGAACGGGGTGCCTGGAGGCGGCAATAGGCAATGCCAATTCCTGCAGCCTGAAACAGATGATCTTAGGGAGGCCGATCCAACCGACAATCAGCTGCTAATCCGGTTGTGCTGAAGCTGAAACTGAAACTGAAACAGGCTGTTCACTGTTTGTTGCAAGGAGGCAAATTGCTGGGATTTTTCCCCCTTGTGCTAATCAGGCTGAACTGAAAAAGGCTGTTTGCTATTTGCTGCAAGGAGGCAGATTTTTTTCCCCTTGTTTTCCTCCTTAAAAGCTAAGTGTGTCTTATACTTCGGAGCGTCTTACGCTCCTAAAAATACGAGTGCGTGTTATCTTCCTGGGATCACACAGTTCTCCAGTGAATCCAGTCATTCTTTACAGATCAATCCCTGCTCCAAAGTCCCTTCTTCATTTCCTGCCACCCCAATACGCATTGTGCAGCATTGGGGTGCACAGAGAACCCCGCCCCTTAGCCTCGGCCACCCCCATCCTTTCCCAAGTCCCCCCACCCCCCAGGACGCACCAAGGAACCCCAGCTGGGCGTTATCCACCATGAAGTCCACGCTGTAGACCTCCAGGGGCTTGGCGTCCTGCGGGCGAGAGAGAGAGAGAAGCGGGGAGGTCAGCAGAGGCCCAGGAGGTGGCCTGGAGTGGGGGGGGGCAGCCCTCACCACCCTGCTTGGGGTCCCCACCCGGCTGACGAGTGAGAGGGTCTTGCTCTCCTCCTGGTAGCGCAGCAGCGAGATGCTCTTCATGACATCAGCGGCCAGGATGAAGTTCTTGACGCTGATCATCTGGTGGATGTAGAGCTGGGTGTCGATGAAGGCCATGCCAGTCAAGTCGTTGTCCTTCAGGCTCCAGAGGAAAATCTGCACCGGGGGACAAGCAGGAGGGTGGACAGGTTGCGTTGTGACCCGCCAGCTGCCAGTGAAGCTGGCAGGAGATTCGGACAGTGAGGAGGGTTGGGGAGGAACCTGGGCCAGTCCTGGAGTCTGGGGAAGGCTCGGAGGAGGGCTCTGTGTCGGAGGCAGAGAGGGGGCCAGGGCCGTATGCCAGTTATCAGCTGCCTTCGGAGTCGGACATCAGTGAGGCAGAAGAACAGCTGGAGCCTGTTCCCAGTTTGCACATGCACAGACTTGCCAGACACGAAGGGCACAGCTAAAGAACAGGGGTCTACTTGGGAGGAAGGCCACAGGGGGACAATGAACGGTGCCTCCCAGGGGAAATAAAAGAGGAGCGACAGGGGAGTGGAGTTTGCAGGAGACCATTAGTTGGTTTGTGATTCTGCGATCGACAAGCTCAGTGTCTTAGCCACCGAGCCACACCGCGCCTGCAAACAAATAGACCTACCTAGAAACAAGCCAAGCCCAAATGGTTCTATTTTAATACATTCCGGGGCTCAGCCCTCCCCGCTTTACTAGGTTCACAACAGTTTAAAACATGGGTTACGGAAACGTTTTCATTTTGTAAAGGGACAGAGCAGAATTCTCTAACTTTCCCCCCCTTGTGCTGTTTTAAACCCACGGT